CCCACACACACACACATACAGGAGAGCCCCTAGAAGTCGACTACAGCAACCTCAGCTTCATCGAGATCCCGCCCATCTCCAGCGGCGAGGAGGACGAGGCGGACGACAGCTGGGATGAGGTGGAATATCACAAGCCCTCGCGAGTGAAGTTTAGCCGCAGTCCTATCAGGGTGAGACGGGATAGTGGATGATATAACGTGGCTTTAGATACTGCTGTTGTTGTTTCGTTGTCGTTGTTGCTAGTAATGCTGTTGTTGTTGTTGTTGATGGTGGTGGTGGTGGTCGTATTATTATTGTTATTGTTGTTGGTGGTGTCAGTGGGTGGTTGGCGGACGCTTTCGTGTGGTTTGCTTCTTCTTTCCTATCAAACATCTATCGTCCTTATCTCCCTTTCTTCTTTTCTATGTTTGTTGCTACTCTCTTGTAACACCTCTAATCTTATGACGCTCATGTGACCTTATGCAGTGGCGAGCGTCGTAAAACGTCTACTAAAACTAAACTGTTTGTGTCATTGTTGTTGTTGTTTTTGAGTGGGTGGTTTACGGATGCTCTGGTGTGGTTTGCTTCTTCTTTCCTATCAAGCATTTATTGTCCTTACCTCTCCTCCTTCTTTTATTTGTATGTTACTCTCTCCTGTAACACCTCTAAATCTTCGGCACCTATATGGCCTAAAAAAAAAAACCAACACAATTTAGATCATCTAAGAGGCTGGCTTCCGACTCTGCTTGACAGGGATACAACATCCCAGCAGAAAGACCGAGATACTCGACAAAAATTCGCCCCACTCGGTAGTTGAACTCAAGTATCCTGCATGTGACAATGGATTAAGCGCCTAACCGCTACACCACAGAGACGCGGTTTGGCAGATGCCTTTCGACGTACTCTTTCTTTTTTTCTGCCACTTATTTATGTAGCCTAATTGTGTCACAAGTGCCGTAAAATTCGTACTGAAACTTGAAACTACAACTCTGTATGTGTTTGTGTCACAGGTGTTTGCCACGTATTCCACCAACGACTACGACCGGCGCAATGAGGACGTTGACCCCGTGGCCGCCTCGGCAGAGTACGAGCTGGAGAAGCGAGTGGAGAAGATGGACGTGTTCCCTGTGGAGCTAGAGAAAGGTCGGTCGCTGCTCTGGCTCACCCGTTGGTTTGCTCCTTCTTTCTGATCAAACATCTATCCTCCTGATCGCTCCTCCATCTTTTTGTGTTTGTAACTCTCTTGTGACACATCTAATCTTCGGCACTTATATGATCTGACCTTATTGTGTTGCAAGTGCCGTAAAACTCTTACTAAAACTAAACTATCACCCGTTGCTTGCTTAGCTGGTTAAAGGGACTAGAGATTTTAGTTGACAAAAAAAAAGTAAATTTTAAGGGGGAGGGGATTGTTTGCTTGATGGAATTGGAATGAAACATCTGGATGGCGGAAAATCAGAGTTGTATTGCCTTTACAACTTATCCAAACTCAATTATACACCATGCTTTAGTCCAGCTGGGTTTTTTTTCTTTCTTTTTTAAAGTAAATTTTCTCGAAACGACCTCAAGGTGACTTGGAGCCTTCATTTTTTCCGATCCCTTCAATTACAGACATCCTCTCTCTGTAATTTACTGTTGTGGCTTTATATGTTTGTGTTACTCCTGTCAGTTTTCTTACCTGAGCTGTCCTGAGGGAAGTGTGAAGTTGGTGGGAAAAAGCGCTATAAATAGACCCAGAAAATGCCTGTGAAAGACTTCATCTGTAATCCCTTGAAATGGAAGAGCCTAGCTCCCGACAGATCCAACAATCACAGAGAGCAGCACATTATAGGAGGATTCAGGAATTACAAGTGCTGAAGGAAAGAGAGAAGTCCTCAATCTGCCCACATTCCCAAATGGAAGTGAAGCTCTTCAATGCTCAAATCGTAGCAAACTCTTCTCTGCCGGAACTGGTCTTGTTGGCCATAGCAGAAGTCACAAATCATCATATTTCTTATTTCTTTTATTTCTCTTTTAAGAAATATTCTCCTCTGCAGATCAGTTGGGTGGGTGGTTGGCGGGTGCTCTGGTGTGGTTTGCTTCTTCTTTCCTATCAAACATCTATCGTCTTTATCTCCCCTCCTCCTTTTTTTGTTTTGTTTGTTACTCTCTTGTAACACCTCTAATCTTCGGCACTTATATGACCTTATTGTGTTGCAAGTGCCGAAAAACTCTTACTAAAACTAAAGATAAGTTAGGGAGCTCCGTAGCTTAGTTGGTATCATGCTGAATTTCAAAACAGGTGTCCCTGGTTCGAATCCCAGGCTGGGCATTCTTGAACTCGGGTCTCTTCGTGAAGTTTTTAAGGTTCTCAACCAATTTGGCTTGATCCTATCGGAGACGGTTAAGTCCAGAGGTCCCTGCTCTTAAATAAGCTTATAGTGCTGATAGGGGCGTTAAAGTCATGACAATTACTTTTTCTTTCGATACATTGGTCATCATGAGACATTGATTAAAAATATATATTATGTTGCTCAGGTTCCGAGGGTCTGGGACTCACCATCATTGGCATGGGCGTTGGTGCTGACGCTGGCCTAGAGAAATTGGGAATTTTCATCAAAACTTTGACCCCGAGGGGAGCCGCTCTCAGATCGGAGAAGTGAGTATTTGTCTACCTGTCTACCTGCCAACAAACCTACCGATCTACCTATTTACCTACCTGCCTATTTATCTATCTACCTACCTATTTATCTACCTGTCGACCTACCTATCTATCTACCTATCTACTTACCTATCTACCTACCTACCTACCTACTGCACATCTTAACCATTTACCTACTGCCAAACCTACCTATCTACCTACCGTCAAACCTACCTATCTACTATCTACCTATCTATCTACATACCCCCAAACCTACCTATCTACCTACCGCCAAACCTACCTATCTACCTTCTTATCTATCTGCTTATCTATCTACCTACCTACAAGCCTACCTATCTATTTATTTTTTGTTGGTTTTTAATGGGGGGGTTGTTTTGTTTTGTTGTTTTTTAAAGATTTTTTATTGAATTAAAAAAAAAATCCTAATGAGACTGCGGAAAGCTTTGAATTTTAGTGTTTGGAGGACGTCGCTGGAGGGTCATACTTAGGTTTTTTTTCCCATCTGTTATCCATGTTTGTCTGTTTTGCTTTTCCTCTCCCCTCAGTAACCGCCTTTGTGCTGTGTGCTTCTCTATACTCAGACAAAATAACAAGTGATAATGATTTATGGGTGGGTGGTTGGCGGAAGCTCTGGTGTGGTTTGCTTCTTCTTTCCTTTGAAACTTTTGTCGTTCTATCTACCCTCATTCTTTTTGTTTTATGTTATTTTCTATTTAGAAACACCTCTAACCTTCGGCCCTTTATATGGTCGCTTTTAAGGACAAGCGCGCTAACCCTGATTTCGGGGGTTTCCAGAAATCTTGACCCACACCAAAAGTAGGGATTGCCCTACTTATAGGAGAAGTTTGGTTTCGTTGGTGTGTATATTATTTGTTTGGTTATAGAGAAAACTCTCCTTGTCTTTTAAAGAAACTGAACAAGGGTCCCAAAACTTTAACTTCGATTTTCTTAAAACATTTTTTGAGATAGCCCCCTTGTGCTTAAAAGCGGCCATATGATAAACTTGTGTTGCAAAAACCATTAAACTCTTACTACAACTAACACTAACCGGTTGTGATTTCAGAATCCAGGTGAACGACCAGATCATTGAGGTAGACGGCAAGAGTCTGGTGGGTGTGACACAAGCCTACGCCGCCTCTGTGCTACGCAACACTAGCGGTCACGTCAGGTGGGTGTGTGTGTGTGGGTGTGTGTGTGTGTGTGTGTGTGTGTGTGTGTGTGTGTGTGTGTGTGTAGTTTGTAGGAATGTGTAATGTAGTGTGTGTGTGTGTGGGTGTGGGTGTGTGTGTATGAATGTGTGTGTTAATGTGTGTGTGTGTGTGTGTGTAGTGTGTGTAAATGTGAATGTGTGTGTGTGTATAATGTGTGTGTGAATGTGAAATATGTGTATACGTGTGTGTGTAATGTGTGTGTGAATGTGAAATGTGTGTGTATGTGTAGTGTGTGTGTGTGAATGTGTGTATGTGTGTAGTGTGTAGTGTGTGTGTGCATGTGTGAATGTGTGTGTGTGTGTGTGTGTGT